TCAAGAAAATATAGAGGAAATATTTCACAATTTAGTATAGGCAGTGTTTTTCTGATTAGGCTGCCAAAAACATAACAACATAAATAGACAAATGGAGTTATATGAAACAAAGAAGCTTGAAACAACACCGAGAACAGGAGAATATATTCTCTCTCTTTTTTTTTTTGGTACCAGGGATCAAACTCAGGATCTTACACTTGTGAAGCAGGTTGTGGAACCACTGAGCTAAATCCCTGGTCCAGGAGAATATATTCTCAAACAACAAAGGATTAGTATCTGGAATACATGAGGAACTCAAAAAACTGCACAGAAAGCTGTTTGTAGTGTGCATTCTGCATCCGTCTCCTCACAGAGCTGTGTGAACAGATGGGAGTTAAAGTGGTGCATACCTGTAATCTCAGTGCTCTGTGAGGCTAAGGCAGGAAGATCACAAGTTCAAGCCCAGCCTGGGCAATTTAGTGACTTACTGAGATCCTGTTTCAAAATAATAAAAAAGGACTGAGGATATCACTCAATGTGAAGGGCCTAGGTTTAAACTCAGCCAGCTGATTTAAAGTGGCTTATCCAGCTCATCCAAAGGGCTTGTGAGTGTACCCAGGCTGCTGGGCACCTGTGTGGCAGGTGGACCAGACAATGTGCAGCAGCTCATTGTCACTGAATCGTAGGATGCTCTTCAGTTCTGCAGATCTCAGGAACAAAGCTCCATGCTTCCTCCTGATATTCTGTCACCAGTTATTTATATAGTACAAGGATGGACAGGTGAGAGCAGTGGTCCCCAACCTTTGGGGCACCAGGGACCAGTTTTGTGGAAGACAATTTTTCCACAGACAAGGAAGTGTGATTTCAAGGTGATTCAAGCATGTTATGTTTGTCATGCATTTTATTTCTCTTATTATGACATTGTAATATTTAATTAAATAACTATACAACTCATTGTAATACAAATTCCATAGGGTCCCCAAGCTTGTTTTCCTACAACCAGATGGTCCTATCCATAGGTGAGGGAGATAGTGACCCTGGAAGTGTGGTTGCTTCTGTCCAGTCTACTCTGTAATACCATGCTGGTTGCTGTTACTGCAGGACACCCTGCTGCACAAAGATAGAATGCTGAAAATGGAAGCAGGATTTTTAATGCTTTTGTGGCAATCTCAAGATATTCCCCCTTGACTTTAGTCCAGGATGTATGGAGAATTGAAGTTGTTTTATACATATTTTTAAGGCCATTGTCATTTACACTTTCAAGCATTGATCATCTTCTAGCACAAACAAAGTTAATTCACCCAGTTTATTTACAAATGGGCCATGGATCCATTCCTTCCCAGTTTGGGGGTCTTTTCTGGGTTGGAAGTACTGTGCAAACTCTTTTGACAGATAAGATAGGTGATCATGCACCAACTGGGAGGAAGGCCCTGGCTCTGTCTCTTTCAAAAAACTCTTTCAATGTTTGAAACATATTCCAATTCATTCATTGCCCCCACAATTTCAATTTGTCTTTGAGTGAAACCACTTTACCTACAGACTTGAATGCAATTCTCATTCTCTCCTGAAGTGACAGGTGGAGTTTGTTGAGCAGGTAGAATATGTAACACAAGTAAGCAAGTTTTGCAATCCATTCTGTGTCACTGAAATGTGCTGCCAGTGGTGACAGTTTTTCTTTTTTCTTTCTTTCTTTTTTTTTTTCTTTTGGTTTTTTGAGACAGGAGTCTCACTATGCAGTTCAGGCTGGCCTTGAACTCACTATGTGCCTGAGGCTGGCCTTTCAGTGACCCTCCTGCCTCAGCCTCCCAAGTGCTGGGATTAAAGGCATGTGACACTACACCTGGCTTGACTATTTTTCTTTAAAAAAAATCTGTAGCAGCTATCATAACTCAAAATCTCTGGCCAGTGATGTACCTTGCTTCTGTGTATAAGAGAAGATATGTGTGTTCTGCATCCATCTCTTCACAGAGCTGTATGAATAGGTGGGAGTTAAAGGTGTGCAATGTGATTGATAATTTACATTGCATCCTTCAAAACATGGTTAGGTTCAAGTGACAGTTTTTGGCTAGCCAGCATTTCTCTACAAGTGACATAGTGCATAAA